CGTGTGCTCTTCCGATCTCCAGTTTATTATTTTTTTATAAAGTTAAAGTACTTTAACTTAATAAAAAAACATACTTTGTCTATATATTTGTACCAATTTATTTTTATAAATTTAAGTATAAAAGCACACTAATAGGGACAGTCGCCCTAGCTTCTAGCTAAACCCACCCTGTTGGGTACGCCCCTGTGATCGGTGCTCTTCTGGTAGAAGCGCCTGATGTATCCCCTGATGTGGCCGACGAGCTTCCTCTCGTACGGAAAGTCCGCTTTCCATATCAGCGAGCCATAACCAAACACCCACATGCTCCCCGCTCGCTCGCGACGTCACCCACGTAGGACACCGTCCCTTCTCGTCGACGACAACGTGATGACGAGATCACGTCGCGCGCCAGTGTGGACCTTGCCTGCGAGTCTCCCGGGTGGCGAGCACGGCTTCCCTTAATGTCGCGGCATAATTCGCGGGGGGACGACGATCCGCTCCGAAATTATGCCCCATGTCCACAAAACCCAGCGCGCGGGCCCCCCCGGGGCTGCTGTTACGCCACGCGCGACGGTCGCCAGTCGCCACGCCACACCGCCGCCACGCGAATTATAACCTCCGGCTCTCTTCGAGGCAGCTGATCGCGGCGCTCTCGCGCGCACACGTGGTAAACAAATCTGGAGTGACGTATACAATTGTGTTGACATGTGTTCGGCGAATATACGAAGCTGGTGGATTCGAAGCTGATCGTGCTTTAACGTACACCTTCCGTGCGTTTGTTTACCGGCGATTCCAGCGAAGCCAAGTAGGATAGAGGTGAATATTTGCGCGAAATAAGATTTTATCGAAGTAAAGTAAACGTACCAGTGGCTGAACGTGTATCTATATCCAGGGTTGGGAAGTAACTCGTTACTTGTAACGAAGTTACAGTTACAGTTACTTTTTTTCAATAACTGTAACTTAACTTCGTTACTTTCTTTCCTTGTGTAACTGTAACTTAACTTACATGTATGCCAAATGCAGGGTTGGGAAGTAACTCGTTACTTGTAACGAAGTTACAGTTACAGTTTCTTTTTTTCAATAATTGTAACTTTGTTACTTTCTTTCCATGTGTAACTGTAACTTAACTTATAGTTACATTTTTTAAGTAACTAATAACTAATTTAATAGTTACCTTTACAGTTACTTTATATATGTCAAATCGTCACTTTCATGGATCAAAATTATGCAATACTTAGATCGGAAGAGCACACGTCTGAA